CTTATGTGTGGATGATACTAATATAAAACTGTAATGTACAGTTTACCCTAAAATTATGTGTATAGGTATATATTTTTCACTACATGTTCACAATGTTTATGTGTGGATGATACTACTGGCGGTGACTTTCATTAATCTTCAAACATTCCTATACTTGCCAATTTTTCTACAGAATGTATGTATGTATGACTTAGATGAAACCTCTTGTAACGTCTCTATGGAGTAACATTCCTGATAATACTAAATCCCTATCAAAAGCAGAATCCTTTGCATTAAAAGATATTGCAAAACGTATCAAGCCTACAGGCAATAATGCCTGACTTTTGGAGGCAGAGAGGTAAAAGTGAGCCTCTGCTGTCCACTCTAGATGCCATGCCTTATTCCTGAGAAACAGAAGGATGAGCTGGCATCATGTGTCACTGCTGAGTAGGGTGCTCCACTTTCCTGGAGGCAGTGAGAAAGTTCCAGTCCAGGTGCGTCACCCCAGTTAGTTCACCAGGCTTCCCACAAGGGAGGGGACCCTCCTATATACCTGCCCAGAAGCTGTGATTTCCAGTAACTCTGTCTACTGGATTGTAACACATCCTTCATGGCTGCCTAGAATGAAGAGAGAGAAGGCTGCACAGTGAAAGTAAGTACAGTGTCCACCTCTTACGGATGAAAGGACACATTCCAAGACCCCCAGTGGATAACTGGAACCACACACAGTACCAAACCCTATATATACTATGTCTTCCCATACATACCTATGATAAAGTTTAGTTTATAAACCAGGCAAAGTAAAAGATAAATAACTAATTATAAAATATAACAATTATAACAACATGCTATAATAAAAGTTACATGACTGTAATCTGTCTTTCATTCAAAATACTCTGCTGTACCTTCATTCTTTTACCTGGACCCTTACATATCTTTGTCTTTGGCATATCCAAATTGCCAGCATCACTGCTCTTGGGCTCTGGTGTCATTAATAGTAAGATTTGGGTTATCTGAATGACATTTTATCTGATAACTGAGGTGGCTACAAAGTGACTAAGAGGCAGGCAGCATATACAGTGTGAATATACTGGACTAAGGATGATTCATGACCCATGCACAACAGTGCAAGACTTCATTCTATTATTCATAAATGTGCAGTTTAAAACCTATGAATTTGTTTCTGTCTGGGATTTTCCATTTAATATTTTAAGACTGCGGTTCCCCAAAGTTTAACTAAAACTTGGAGACAATTATAGTACCATTTGTCAGGGATGCCCCATATGCAACTGTCCTTTCCAGTTTAGCCTGCTTGTTTAGATGAGGGAAAATGCTGCAAAAAAATCCTCCCCAAGGGCTCTCCATCTCCCCACCCCACGGCCCAGAAGTTTGGAGAAGCACTCACACTTCCTGTAGATTTGGCAAATCCTCAAAACCAGCAGGGTCAATCTCAGACAGTTTGTTGTAACTCAGATTCCTGGTAGAGGGATAAGGAAGACAAAACAAAAAGAATCAATACTTGAGACTGCACCCAAGAAAAAAGATCTTACCCCTCCCCTAATCTAAGCCCTCTCCCTCATAATTTCCCATCTCATGCATTGTTTTAAGTAACATTATTGACACTAAGATTTACAATAGTATATGTCTCCTCTCCACTAGCATCCATAAGCAAGGTGCTCAAACCAAGGCTGCGAAAATCCAAATCACCTGAGGTTGGTAAACTCAAATGGATTTCAATTTATATCATTTTACTACCTAGCAAGTCCTAAAGAAATCTTAACGGGAATTAGTCCTCTATGCACATTAGAGTAACCTGGTCCAAATGCTGTATACCATTATCAAGTCCAAGGCTATTCTTAGCAGCATTTATCATTAACATTTTACTAAAGCAATAACATAAAGAAAAAGAAGAGAGTGTTGGGCTTCATTGTCTAAACCAGTGATTCTCATCCAGGGAAGACTCTGTACCCCAGGGGATATTTGGCATTGTCTAGAGACAATTTTGGTTGTTGAAACTTGAAGGGTGTCTGGTGGGTAAAAGCCAAGGACGCTGTTAAACATCCTACCATGCACATGCATGCAGCCCTCCATAACAGAGCAACAGCCAGCCTTAAATGTCAGTATCAGCCAGAGATAGAGAAACCCTGGTCTAAACAAGAACTTACGACTAAATACTGCTCAGATGTATTATTAAAGTTCAAAATGACTGTTTAAAAAAAATGGACACTGTAAGATTCAGAATCATAAGGTTACTTATGAACATAGCATTCCTACCAAAGACTGACAAATATTGAGAATGACAGTCACAAAGGAGAAGGGAGACAGTTGTTAGAAATTTATGTTGGTATTAACCACAGGCAGCAAAAGTCTCATGTGATCAACCTTCCCAAGATGACAGGACCTGACACATTTGCTCAGAATGACACCTCTCTCACCTTCACGGTACCCAGTTATACCCCTAGAGGCTGACAAGGAGCAGGCTGGGCAAGGTTCTATCATCTAAGTCTCTGATCAGAGCCTCAACCCAGATCAGCTTAATCTTTCAAGAACATAAGTCACAGGATATGCTACAAAAACATCTTAACTTTTGTACTATATCCTTGCTCTCTGCCACCAGTCTATCCCAGCCCCGTGTATCCCAAAAAGGTTAACATTTTTCATTTTGGCTATTTTTTCCATTACCACCAATTAACAGTACTACTAATCATGAGTTTAAAGTCTAACTCTTTTTTTTTTTTTTTCCGGTACCGGGGATCGAACTTGGGTCCTTGCACTTGTGCAGCAGGCAGCGAAACCACTGAGCTAAATCCCCGGCCCTAAAGTCTCTTGAAGCAGCACATAAGTGGTAACTATCTTCTAAACTTTCTCCAGAGTCATTTCAATCAATATTAACCTAGAGCTGATAGCCATTTCACTGTGAACTCGAAGACATTCATCTAAATAAAAGTCAAGCTGCACTTGAAACTAATGGCACATCTGCGTTCATGGCACAGTCTGAATTAAAAGCAATTTGTTTGCAGATTAAGTTACCATAAAGATTGAAGGTGGTAATTTTTTAAACCACATACTGAAGTCAAGTGTGAGCCTGCCTGTGCTTGCGGGTATTTATTAATGGGTATGTAGAAATCAACAGGTTAGACCTGGGAAAGAAAATCTACAAGTTGAAAGAATTCCTCATATCAGAAAAAAAAAACCAAAACATTAATATTTTTCTTCTATTTTGAGCAGATTATCATAAAAAGGGGGTGGGTGGGTAATGTTTCTGTGGTAAAGATACTGTGAGTTATGAGACTGTAACTTGAATCATCACAGGCAATTGGACTGGTTGAGCTGGAGGAGACATTAGAGAAATCCTTGAAAGTAAGAGGCTGAAAGGTCAAGCACATCATGTAGCTGGTAGAATGAGGCTAACACTGGGGTGCCTTGCTGCCCACCTAAAATAGCATTTGCTCCTTGGGTCCAGAAACAAGGGCAACAAAATCTTCTCAGTTTTTCAGAGAGGCTCAAAATCTGAATATTTATGGGAAACCTTTTCAATTCTTATATTTATTTATTTATTTTCAGTACAGGGGATCAAACTCACAGCCTTGCGCTTGCAAGGTGGACGCAGAACCACTGAGCTAAATCCCCAGCCCCACCTTTTCAACTCTTAAAAAAATTAAAAAAGTAAAAACCCAATATGAGCCAAACAAAATCTGTCCGCCAGTCACATCTGGCTTGAGGACAGCCAGTTTTTGCTTCAATCTGGACCACTGGTCCTTGACGCTATTTGTTCAGATTGATGGGCTTATTTCTGGCTGCATACTGGCCAGGGTGGAGCTGGGCCTTACTGGGTCTTTTGCAATTAACTGATGGTGTGTTCTGAACCATGTGAAATGAAATCACCCCACCACCACCACCACCACCACCGCCAGGGTTCATATTTCTCAGCAACTTAGAATAAAACCATCTGGAAGCCACAGTACCCTTTGGACAAAGCAGACAAATTGATCTGTAGTTCAGGAAATGCTGTATAAATTCTGCTTTTTGAAACAGACTACTTGAGAAAAGGGTTTTCCCTATAGAAGGATTACCCAGAAGCTGAGTAACATAGGACTTCATATTGATTGATGCCAGTCACAAAGATGAAGACATTTTTTTAATATATATATTTATTGGTACATTTTAGGTATAAAATACATTTACATTTATCATTGGGTGTTTGTACCAGAACATGATGTATCTTAGTTTTTATTTTTTCTCCCATTACCTGTGCACCCTTCACCCACTCCACCCTTCCCTATTTACACAGACTTTGATTCCATTTTTTTTTTCTTTCTCGTAATTTTTCCTTTCCCTTCTACCCTTTCCCCTTCCCCTCCCACCATCCCCTATCTCTTGGACTTTTTATTTCAAATTATCAATTATTCATTTTAATCGTTTTCATCCTTATTTACACTTTCAATTTCTCACACGAGAGAAACTATTCGGTATTTACACACTTGTGTCCTATTTATTTCACTTAAGAGGATGGCCTCAATATGCATCCATTTAGCTATAAATGTCTCTAGTTTCTCACTCTTTATAGCTAAGTAGTACTCCATTTTATAGAAAAATCACATCTTCTTTATCCAGTTTCCAGTCGATGGGCACTTGGGCTGTTTCCAAGCTTTAGCTATTACAAACTGTGCTGCTATAAACATAAGTGCACATATATCTC